GTCCAAGATTAACCTTCAGGGTGGATATAGCTCGCTCACACCAAGGACCTGTCCAATGTCATCATTTACCCAGAATGCTTTGTCTGCAAATAAAATGTCCCCATCCGTGTAATATATTTTTAAAGTTTAAGTTTAAAAATTATAAAAATTTAACATCCTACAGTATTTTTATAGTCTTTATTTTACAGTTAAAATATATGTTTATTAAATAAAGTCTAATGTTAAAACTAATCATGGATCCCTTTAAAGTACTGTTTTTGAGTCCTAAAGACTGTAAATGTAAATATGAAGGACTAGATTCGTAGGAAAAGCAATTGCAAAAGACTATTTCTTCCCAAAGCCTCTAACAAATGCTACAGAAGCCCACTTCAAACTGCTCAGAATGTCCCCTTCAAAATAAAACCAAACAAATATTATATCCTAACATGGTAACTAAAGCTTCTTTTACTACATATATCTCAGGAATTCAAATTGTCCTTAGACCTTTTATCTTGTAATTACAGTCAGACTGTTACTTGGTGAGGTACAGGATGTAGTACCTCGCCACGTCGTCCTGAGGGAGCATACTGTACACCGTCATCATATCCAGAGCATCGGCATGCTCCCAGCCAGTCCTCAGAAAGCGCTCTTTCTGAAAACACCAAACAATAAGGAATACTTTTTTAAAAATAAACAAATCTACGGCATTAAACGAAGAGTTTGAAGTTACCTGGGAGTCTAGAGACTGACAGATCTCAACTCCTGCCAGGGTGCACTGACGTCGCTGCAGGTTCTCGATCATCACCTGACCGAATCGATCACTCATGTTCACCTGAATGTACAGACAGCTTTAGAAATTTAGCACTTTACACTGCATCTGCTGCTTCTTGTTGCTCAAATGAGTTGATCCAAGTTAATGAATCGTTTCACAGAGTGTGCTGAAACGAATCAGAGACCGGCTGCTGTGTTTTCTGAATTTTGTTCACCTGCTCGTAGTTTATGAACATGGCGGTGTGAAACGTTTCTGCGGCCCAGTGAACCAGGTTGGAGGACTGTGAGGGTGTCATGTAGACCAGGACGCACTCTGACAGGAACACTGTTGGCAATCTGTGTTTGAGGAGAACCGCAGACAAACTTTCAAACTCTTTGTGAGAATTCTTCCTAAGCAAATAAGGCAAAAAATAAAAAAAGAGGGTGAAAATCTTCTGCCTGTTAGCTAAATATCTCTTGAACCACAGATTGGATAATTTTTTGTTAAAACCCTTTCTTCAAAGACATATTTAGTGATAATTTACTAAATTAAAGAGTGGCCAAGCATACAGGGAGTCTCTAAGCTGAAAGGTTGTTTGTTGTTTGGAACTTAAAAAAAATATTCTGGGTGTGGTCTGCTCTGAACTCAGACTCCAGATGGCAAATATTACATCTGTACCGCGGTCATCGAGTTGCTCTTACAGAGAGCCTTATCTAAAGTCACTTCAGTCAGAAAACACAGAGATAAGCTACAATTCACCCACCACCAAAAATATGCAGGAAAAAAACAACAACCTGACAACAAACAGCATCACTTATTTCAGTCAAATCAAAACCGACGCCCAAGAAACTTAAATTGGGTGAACACTGAGTCGACATTTCCCCGTTTTCTGTTTTCTTTTGTTTTGTTAATATTGAAACACATTTAACTACTTTTTCCAAACATTCTGCTGTTTTTCATTACCCAAAATGTTCAGCTAATTCAGGAAATGGGTGCTAGTGGTAGTCATAACTTTTTTTTTTATTTTAACTTACCGGTAAGTAAAAATAAAATTTCCCATAAAAACACAGAGAACTCCTTAATCTTTAAAAAATATTGTTTTCTATTAAATCTGCCATTTCTGTCTTCTTGTGCTACTGTAGTTTTTAGCCACCATTCTCCTACTTTTAGTTTAGCTACCATTAGCCTCTAGCTTTTTGATACTTTAACAATATCAATGTTAAGCTAATAATTTACAGCATTTAGTTAGCCGTTCCTTAGTGTTACTTTTAATTTTAAAAAATCATACTTTTAGCCTCTAACCAGCCTTTTGCTACTTTTAGCTATAACATACTTTTATACTACTTTGGCTATTTGCTAGTCATCCCTTTCCTCCCTGTAGCCTTTAGTTAACTTTTGCTGCTTTTAGCCATTAACTAGCATTTTGCTACTTTTGTCTTTTAGGTAGAGCTGTGGTTCTTTTAACTTTAACAACTCAGTTGTAGCTTCTTCAGCTAATTTAAGCAAATTGTTTGGTGTTCATGATGTCTTTCTGCAGAAAATGTAATTTCTATAGTTCAGCGGTTCCCAAAGTTGGGGTCAGGACCCTGTTGTGGGTCCTGAAACATCAAGATGGGGTCTTGAAAAGATTTTCAGAATTAATCACATTTTAAAAGGACTACTAACATTTTTTGCCTCAGTCGTTACAAAAGTGTGTGGTTAGTGTATTTAAAAAGGATAAAATCAGCAACATGAATATTGTTACAATGTTTATTACACATAAATAGTTGAGGGTCCCGGTCTCTGCTACTGCTATTTTGTGGGTCAAAAGCTGAAAAGTTTGAGAACCATTGATCTAGTTTGATTTCAAGAGTGTAACTCCCACCAAGACTATAAGGGAATATTAATAGTAAAAATATATAACATAATAAATGATTGCACATACTCTGGGTTAAGGTGGAACTTTTTTAGTTTTTCATCCAAGCTGGAGATGTCTCTGAGGTCTGCTCCGATGATGCAATAACGATCTGACTCAAGGTTGTGGGCATCTGAATAAAAACAAACAAAATAAAACATTAAAGGGAGAATACACGGTGCAAATAATAACAATGGTCATGGATATTAAGTACCTATCAGTAAGGAGTCTGTTGAGTGCACGTCAATGATAGGTTTGGACAGAGGAGGCCTGGTTCTTATTGAGGGACAAAAAGTCACAATTAAAATAACACATCTGCTAAAAAAATAATATGCAAAAGTGAAGTATTTTTACATACAAACTGTTTCCTAATCTCAAATGTGTTTACATTTATCAATATGTTTGTATAATCAGAATACCAACAATATGGCCTCACAAAAGCCACATGCAGCATGAATCAATTTGCACACATGAGAAAGCATGCAAATAAAGGACTTCTACTTTTTACGATTTCAAATTCGACTTTATGGATTTTTTTTCGATATTTGAGATATTTTTGACGTTCAAGTTCAAAACTTTACTGCAAATCTACAGTAGAAAAAAGAAAGAAAGCGAGGAACAATACTTCTGTAAAAAGTAAGTTTCCTGTTTTTGTAACAAGTTCTTGTTCTTAGTAACAGAGTTTAAGGCAACACTAAGTTTAGTTTGTTTAATCCAGAGTGAAACAGAAAAATAAGCACATCAGAGAGACTACCTCGTGTGATAAATCTTAAACTTTATGTGCAACTTATGGCAAATGAACATTTACAGAGCACATTTAAACTTAGAGCTTTACAATGTGAGCAAAACTATCTTTTATATAAAATAATTTTTATAACTTTAGTTCTTTGAATAAATCTATTTAGACATACAAATTTCTCTACTTTAGAAAATTAAACATTAGAAAATTGAAAACACTTAAGGTAAACTCCATATGTTTGCACATTTTTAAGACCATGTAGAAACTCTGAATGTATAATTTAAAAAACGGATCATCACTTTTGAACAACTCCACACTGTGATGCTGAATTGGCTCGCCTAAGGCTTTGGCTCCCCCTACAGACCATTCCTTAATGTTACAACTCCAAAGCTAGAAGGTCATTTTGTTGTTTTATGCAAAGTTTTACCCTTTTTTATGGGTCTACAATGATGACAATCACATTAAAAATAGTGTTTCCTTCAAAACTATGCAAACATAGGAACACACTTCAGTAACTACATTTGTTGCCCTGATGGAGCATCATTCATCCTTGTGCACAAATCTTACTTTATATAGTGTATTTTCTTGGCAACAACGGCTGGAAAGTCAACTTCAAATAACTTCTGTGGCAGGAGGTTTTCATCCTGTTCCACACACATGAAATGAGACAAGTCCAGTTCTCAGAGTAAGTTATTAGGAATCATATTTACAGCATAACAAAAACTGGTGAGCAACACCTTTGCAAACCTTTAATCTCCAAAACGTGGTGTCCAGCCCGGCCCCCAAGTTGATCACTTGGCACCGACAGTCTGTTTTCTTTATAAATGCGTCAAGAAGAAGGTTCACTCCTTTAACTCGAGCGTAGTAACCTGTTAAAACAGAGAAGCGGACATGAAATAAAGACAACACATCGGGGGTTCACTGAGCAGCACTGCTTCTCCCGCACAAGTCTGGCGCTATAAATAAGTCTTGTTTGGAAACTGTGATCCACACAATTTATATAAACATTTTGGGGGATGGGGGATAGTGATATGGATGGTGAGGTGGAGAATTGAAACGATGTGTAAATCAAACGTGTCAATTTCTCCGGTTTTGTTTGATAACACAAATCATAAACGAAGTAGGATGAAACCAGAAGAGGACAAATGTTGCAGACAGCTCAGTGTAGTTTTATTTTGTTTTAATAATAGCTTTATGAGTCATTGTGATAAATTGATTTAATCGATTAATTTGAATTTGCCATTTATAAAGATTTAATTTAGGGAAAACTGGGATTTTTCCCCCACCAGAGCACTCTTTAGGACTTCTGTAGTTCAGAGGTCACCCCACATGTCCCTCAAGATGCTCGGTACACAACATGACAATATGGCAGCTAGCAAAGAAGGGGAACCCCTTCTAATGCTCACTTTATTTCTAAGCCTGAGTTTCATCCCCTTACAGCGACAGCTCTTGTCTCCAGTTTCTCATTCTCATGACCACATGTGAGTGTTAGAGCATACACTCACCGGCCACTTTATTAGGTACACCACGCTAGTAACGGGTTGGACCCCCGTTTGCCTTCAGAACTGCCTCAATTCTTC